AATATCAAAGTTAGTATAGGACAAGCCATTGATTCTTCTAAGGCTATTAAGAGAAAATCTAAAGGGACTTTGGGAAAACATCCAATATGGCTAAGGTGATCAAAGCGAAGGACAATATCAAATCTAATGACCCTTGTTTTCATTATAAAATGAAAAGTCATTGGAAGAAATATTGCAAGGTTTATGTCTACTTCATGAGCTTTTTAGGTATTTGATACCAGATATGGATCTCATATTTATATAAATATAGAGAAACTAAATAGAAGTATACCATTGCAAAAGGGAGAAGTTGACCTATACGTTTAAGATGAGAAAAAATTGCTACATTTCCTATAAGAGCATACTTCATGTCGTTGCTTTTAGGCTTAATATTGGAATTAGAGAAATGTAACTTTATACCCACCATAACTAGAGCATTAAATAAATTCATGTTTGGACATGAATTATTTTAATGTCAAGGACAATTGTTGTTACTTATATTTCGATAAAATCTTAATGGTTATGGTAAACTACAAAATGATATTTATATTCTATATACTAAGTATTCTATAATAAGTATAGAAGTTAAGAAGCACAAAAATGATAATCTAAATGGTACCTAAATCTAACATTGCAGACTTGGTCATATAGATAAAATGCAATTCGAAATTTACATAGAGATGTATATATGGGATCAATTGATTTTGAATCATTTGACAAGTGCAAATCAAGCATGTTTGGTACAACGATCAAATCTTATTTTACTTGAAAAGGAGAAAGGTCTGCATAAATACTGGCATAATACATAGTGATGTATGTAGACCCATATCAATTAATGCTAGATAAGGTTTCTCTTATTTTATCACATTTACCGATGACTATTTCGGAAATGGACCATGTATATTTTATGAAATTCAAGCATGAAGCTCTTGAAATGTTCAAGGGATTCAAGCTAGAAGTAGATAAACAAATAGGTAAGATATTATCACACTAAGATCCGATCGAGATGGAAATATCTTAAAGATGAAATTCTAGATTATCTAAGAGAGAATAAGATTCTCTTGCAGTGGACTACTCCATATACACTGCAACATAGTAGTGTATTTGAAAAGAGGAATCGTAAACTATTAGATATAGTGTGATTAACAAGCCATGCAAACCTCCGAAAATTGTTTTGGGATCATGCACTGATTGCAGTGTGTAGCACGCTAAATCATGTCCACAGAACTCCATACGAGCTATGGAAATGCAATATTCCCAATTTATCTCATCTAAATGTTTGGGACTGTGATGCTTATTTAAAGCCCAGTGAATCGAATAAACTTGAATATATATCCGATAAATACATATTTGTAGAATATCCAAGACACATATTTGGATATCAATTCTATTATTCTATTGAAAAGAAAGTCTTCGTCTCACGACACAGTCTTTTTAGAGAAAAAGTTTTACTCTGGAAGAGAACAGTGGCAGTAAAATAGAACTTGAAAGATTCAAGAGTCCACAGATATAGTTGACCAAGCATATGAATTTGAAGTTGATCCCACACTTGATGAGGGACACACTCTTGATCAGGAAGTGGAGACTTCTGAGGACATGACTGCTCCATTTAAATCTAGTAGGATCATTCGATTTTCAAGAATGTGCGAATCCACGATTACTAATTGGATATTAACAACCTAGGATGATGAACCTACTAATTACATAGAAGCAGAGTAAGGTCTTGACTCAAATATATGTCAGGAGGCCATGGAATCCGAAGTGAATACAATATATGAAAACAGGGTTTGGATTTTGGTCGACCCTCCTGGTGGGATAAAGCCCATATGTTGTAAATGGTTTACAAGGAAAATGTCGATATGGATGAGAATATCCATGCATACAAAGCAAGGCTAATAGAAATATGTTAAGTGTTGACCTTGGTTAAACCTTTCGTCTATAGCCTTGTTGAAGTTCACTCGGGTTTTGGTTGCAATAGTTACATACTATGACTATGAGTTAAAGCAAGCCTATTGAAGCTGAAATCTTCAATTTGATGAAAAAATCAAAAGGTTTGTTTTTATCAAAAATGGAGACGAACTGTGTATTTACAAGAAGATAGTGAGAGCATTGTCGCATTCCTAATATTATATGTAGGACATATTATTAACAGAAAACGATATCCCTACATTACAAACGTTGAAATTGTGGTTGTAATAGCAACTTGATCTATAAAAATAGATTTAAAAGATTGCTTAACTCATCCCAATTTACATAGATAAAAATTTGAGAAGATTTTATATGAAGAGTTGGTTTACTCTTAAGCGGTGTGTGAAAATGTTTCAAACATGAAACAAATGTAGATTCAATAGTAGTTCCTAACACCGTTCGTGCAAGCGAAGGAACTAAGGTCACATCAATGATTCAGACATGTTTTAAGGTAGTATCATCTCATCAGAGAGATAACACAAAGAAATGATGTAAAGAAACGAAACGAATCCCACAATTGATAATATTGTAAATCCACTAACAAAGAGTTGTCACATTATAAACATGATCGTCATGTATGCTTTTATAATATTAAATACATAAGTGATTGGATATAGTGTAAGTGGGATTTTGTAAGTGTAATGCTCTAGGTTCAATCAATTTTAGACATAAACATTTTTAATATATAGTTGATGCAATTTATGACAAATTTATTATTTAATTAATATTAAATTAAATTAAACAATAGAGTCTGTAGATTCAAATCTTGGTAATTTGTTAATCACAAGAAGTTATGATTGTGAGATACAAATTACATATGATTGAATCTTAAATTATCCGTGGTCGTAAGTAATAACGAGAAATGGATATCGTTATTACAGATATACCATCACATGTGGCAATTCTTACTTATGAAGTAAGTAACTGATCTCACAAACTAAAATGTTGTGACATTTAAATGAACACGTGGATGTTCTATTATAGAACAAAACATTAGAGATCCACTAAGAGATTTCACATGGATAAATATCTGAGTATCAGTGGTTAATCTCCAATATTTGATAGTGAAATTGATCATTTGACTTGAGGTCAACATAGTGCCTTGTATGAGGACAGTCATATTTTGACGGTGTTGGATGTTGCTTTGCCAAGACCGTTAATACTGCATCGTTTGGGTATGTCAAGAATCATATAAATATTGTGAACGAATAGATGATTCATTACTCTTAGATAGGGATGTTAACGAGTAGAGTTGAGTCGGCTCGGGCTTGGTTCAGGTTTTTTTTAAGTCGAGCTTTTTTGTGCCTGAGCTGAGCAAAAGCTTGGCCAAAAAATTAAGGCTCGACCCGAGCTTTTCGGCCAACAGGCAGCTTTATTTGCTATCGATTAAGGCAATAGATTTTTCCTTTCTGATTTTTTTTATGGGCCGGCCCAGCTCGAGCCAACTCCCAGAAAATGGGGCTCGGGCTTTTTTCGAGATTATCATCTACATTCATTCAATTAAGTCGATAACAAAATCTTTGGTTAATGTGTGCTTAGAAGTCGAAAATGAGCTTTCGATTTATATTGATTTATTAGTGTAATCAAATATATGACCGATAATTGGGATTGACACATTTTCATATTTCGTAATTGATCAAATCATATTGACAAAGGAATTATAGTTTCACGGTAAACGAACAAATTTGATTTTGTTATACCATGTGACATTTTATTGTCAAATATATTACCTCGACACATTGCTAGATGTCAATCTATGACGGTGAACTTGAATTGGTAATAAATTAAAAGAGTGTTTTAATTTATCAATTTTGATTAGATCAAAATAATAATTTACTTCATTGGGCATCTTGATTGGGAACTAATGGATTGCACACAAAAGGAGAACTAGAAAATTGTGATACGTCAATTGATTAGTTCATTGATCAGATTTAATTGAATTAGTTAATTAAATATTGGAACGGGTCAAGAGATAGACTAAACTTGTTTGAACTTATATAAATAAGTGGCAAGGTTTTGTAATTTGTAGAGAATTTTTTATTATTCTTAGTAGTACAAGAGGAGAAAGCCCTGGTTCCTACAATCTTGTTCTTTGTATTGAATTTTATTAGAGACTGAATAGTTGGACAGTTGTGGATGACAAATCAAGGTTGTTGAAATAAAAGAAAAGTAAAGGGGTTTGCAGATTTTGCAAAAACGTATAATTTCTATCTAAACATAAAGGAGATTTTTTTGTAGGAATTGAAATCTGTTTCATTTTTTGTACATGATAAGTAATTTCCCAACATTTCAAGATTAGGATGCTTGAATATGTTGCAAAAAATCTTTAGTACCTAGTGATTATGCCCCTCTTTGTTTCACATTTTTCCACCATTAAAATGAAAACTATGATCGTTATCTATTATATCAAGTCATTAAATTTGAATTTCTATCTCTTGTGTGGGGTTCATAATGACTATATTTTTCATTCTCATTTTTACAAAAATGGAAAACAAACGCCCCTATATATAAATATGAAATCAAAGCATGAAATTTTAAACAAATTGATTATTCAATACGTGTGCATCAGCTATTTGTTATTTTGATGGAGTAGCCTTCAAGAAAACATAATTATATATTTTATATCCTTTGACCAAATCCATTCTTCCATGTTCTTCGAAAACTTCAACTTGCATGTTAAGCCGCGGTTTGCTTTTGACCAAAAATCAAAATTTTTTAGTAAATTTTGATGAAAGATAATGGTACGTATGGTTGATAAAATAATAAAAGTTAAGTACCTTATAAAATATATGAGGTTCAAAATCAATTTCTAAAAAAATTAGCAGCTTGTTTGGGAGCGATTTTTGCTCCAAAAAATTAATTTTTTGACCGTTATTTCACTATTTCAATCCTCATATTTCACTTCTTTTCTCACATGTGGACCCCACTTTTCTCCTAACGGTCAAAAAATCAATTCTCAAAATCACTCCCAAATAGGCTCTAGGACCAACCAACTAAAATGACCAATCGTTTCCAATACGCAATTCCCATTAGAGGTTGACCAATCATTTTAAATATATAAGAGAGCTTCATCCTGCAGATTTTTCATTAGAATGCTTAATTATTCTTGGCAATTGATACTACACGATAGTTCATCAAACTCTCTTATTAGCGAATTTTACCGAAGACTTTTCAGTCTCTTTCCCAACTGCAGAATTAATCTTCAAGAACGTGAAAATAATGGAAGAAAACTTGGATAAATCGGGAGGAGGGAAAAGGATTCAAGAATCCATGGAGATCACATTGAGGCCAATAGAATTGTCGGATGTAGAAGATTTCATGGTGTGGGCAGCAGATGATAAGGTTACAAGATTTTGCCTTTGGGACACCTACACTTCCAAAGAACAAGCACTAAACTATATCAAGAATTATGCTATCCCACATCCATGGTTAAAGGTAATATGCATTGAAAATCGTGCGATTGGGGCAATTACAGTTACTCCAGGTTCCGGATTCGACCAGTGTAGAGCTGAGCTTGGCTATGTCTTGTCCTACAAGTATTGGTGCAAAGGGATTGTCACCAGAGCAGTACAAATGGTGGCTTCAACAATATTTAAGGAGTGGCCTCATTTGGAGAGGCTACAAGCCACAGTGGCTACAGACAATGAAGGGTCAAAAAGGGTGTTGGAAAAGGCTGGATTCCAAAGGGAGGGTGTCCTTCGGAAGTATATTGTTATAAAGGGCAAAACTAAAGATGTGGTTATGTTTAGCCTCCTGTCGACTGATTTTCTTGTCTAAATTTTATAGTCTACTTTAAAATATGTTTCTAGAAATCTTACGTGTTGACAGGTTCTCGACTCATTCTGATGAATTACAATCAAGTTGTTTTATTAAGGATTTAGTTTGATTGAAGCTTTCAATAGATGTGATACCGAACATAATGGCAAGAGAGACTTCATATAATTCAAGCTCAAATTTATGTGAATAAAACTTAGTTTTTTATTATACTTTTGCTGATACTATCTTTTCTAAACTCCAGTTTCTAGTTTGAATTTTTATTTTTGGGAACTCGACGTTTTTTGTTGATTCGGACTTACTCAATAATCTACCCACCTAGTGGTGTTTATTAAAGATTTAATTTGCATTTGATAAATTAATGAAGAACTCTCAAAGTAGGGACAAGAAAGTTTTATATTTTATTAAAAATAAACTGGTCTTTTGTCGGCCTAGTATCATGTGACTGGAACTTTCTCTGCATAGGAGAAAAACCTTAGAAAAGTCGTAGTTTTCTCCAGTTCCTGGAACCTTGTATCAGTGCCAAGTTAGTAACAAGAATTTGTGTTTTCAAATATGAGAGAAATTTGCAAGAACATGCATATAAATCATGCCTCCTATCAAAATAATTCCTTTCTCACCACTCCAATAATATATAAATCATGACAGAATATCTTAATATTAAATAAATAAATAAATAAATTTATATTAATCGTACATATTTGATATTTCCGGTCCAATACTACTTTAAGGTCAATCTAAAGTTAGTAAGCATTTTCAACTTTACTTTTGAAAAAAAAAAAAAAAAAATCATGAGCCAGGAGTATATATATTTCATCTTTTATTTTGAAGGATTTACTCTTATCATGATCTTGAATGGTTCTTTTGAGCACACCAATCATAAATTCAAGTATAAATTCGAATGTTTATTGAGTTTGTTGGGCTATGATGCCATCTTAAAATTTGAAATTCTATTTCAAAATATCGGCATTATTAATAAAAGTGGCACAAATTTTTATGTTAATTAATATTTTTATATTTAACATATAGACAATTTATCCTTATTATGTCTTCATCAAGATGTCAGCTTGTTTGAGTTTAATGGACTCTAATGTCATATTAAGACTGTAAGATCATCATAAAATGTCAACATTTTAAAGAGAAATTGTTCAAACAAATATTTATATATTATATATTTATTTCATATTTTATCAATGCTAAATTTATCTTATAACATATTTGCCCGAATGAATTATGGTCTTTTATTGGAATTGATTTAATTTTTAGGGGTTTAGAATATCAAATAAGAATAATAGCATAAACTTTATCCAAAATTAACTTATAGAAGCAAAAAAAATGTTAAGATCTTTATTATATCAAGTCGTACCTAATACGATGTACCAAATATTTGAAGTACTCATTTTTAACATGTAAACTCGACAATATTAAAGTACTAAAAGACATTCAAACAACTAAAAATAAACCAAATTTCAAATTCATAAAACTTCGTTAGATTTCATACAGAAAACCAGTGGCATATGGTGATTACAATCACCTCTTGAGAAAATAATTTCAGTGAGAATAAGCAGCTTCCAACTTATTCTATAATCTTATCTGTTAGTAAGAAACTATAGATAAACATATCTCTAATTTCGCCTTTGTTGAACCCATATTTTCTCAGCAAACCTTCTTTCTTGAACCCAACCTTTTCAAGAACCCTTTGTGACCCTATATTTTCTTCTTCAACCAAAGCTTCCAGCCTCACTAAATAAGGGAACTTTTCGAAAACACGAGGGATTGCCATTTTCATTGCTTTAGTGACTATTCCTCGTCCCCAATAGTTACTGCCAACCGCATATCCTAGGTGGGCCCGGTGTTGATCACTGCCGGATTCCGGCCGGACTGAAATGTATCCAATGGAGTGATCATCGAGACAAATGGATTGCCTCCAAGGGTGTGGTATGGCGACTTCTTGGATGTATTTTAAGGATTCTTCTTTGGATTGGATTGAGTTCCATCTTAGATAATGTGTTACCTTTTCATCAGCTGCCCATTTAAAAAGTCATCAGCATCAGAAAGTTTGAAGGGTCTGATAGAAATTAGTGAGTTCATAATTAATGAATTCAAAGACAAAGATAAATTGAATACATGCATTTATTTGACATTCCAGCAGCCTCTCTTGACTTGTGGGACAAGCAGACAAGTCAACCACCTGCAAGACCAGAGAATGATGAGTGAACGCGTCTTAGTATAATGACAGCTACCAAAAGCTGTTTCCAGTTGAAAAATGGCAAATATATAAATATGAGTGTGTTTGCATTTTAATCTAAATCTAAATCAAACAATTAATATTAATTACATCATTTATGAATCATATAATTTTTCAATCATACAATTCAAAAATTTTTGTCATAATCTACTAAAAAATCAAATTTTATTAGTCGATACCAAACATAGTATGAGATCAATTAATATAATTTCCCACCCCACCCCTCCCACCTACGTTCTATTATGCTCATTGGTAGATCTATCAAAAGAAGTATAATGACTTATCATAAAGTGTTTGAACCGTTCTGCTTGTTTGTGTCCCATTATTTGTAAATAACGTATTATGAAATAGTGATTGATGTTGAAATATATGGTTAAAAAGGAAGGAAGTTTTTTTGATTTATGTGTAATATTATTTTAATAAAAAAATGTATAATTGAAAATAAATACTATAGAAAAAATAATACGATAGAATGTCTAAAATAGTAGCCAAACAAAGCAACTAATAAAGCGTCTTTAAAGCTACTAAACGCTTGTAGCAATTGGCGGGATAACCCAAAACGTGCTAGACAACATGTTTGTTATTGAATAAATATTAATTTTCTTAAGCAAATATTTCATTTATATTTTTTAAAATTTAGCATGCGATGAAGTGCCTTCGATGGCTCCGTGATAATATAATTTGAGTGCCGACATAGATTAGCATAGACAAACAAAACTTACATTTCAGTGTAGAATTATTTAGTTTTGGATTTGACTACAAACTCCTACAAATTTTAAAAATTGGCCCAATATTCACTCACTGACAAAAGATAAAGTAGTTGTTTGATTTAATTAAAAAAGTTGATAAAAATTTAAATAAAAGTCAACAAGTAATTTAATAACACATTTCATTAACTTTTATCAATAAAATAAAAATATGATTTTAAAAAGAGTTACGGTCCGTTTGATTACAAACATGAAAGTTGGGTGGAAAGAAAACGAATTTCAGGAAAGTAGATTGTCTAGAAATTGTCTTCCTGAAAATTGTCAATTCATTGTATTTGATTGGTATAATTTTTTATGTGAAAAATATTGAAATAAAAAAATTTTTTGGTGTTCGTTTGAATTTGTTTTACACGAAAATTGTCAATGAAAGGAATAAAATTTATTAGTATTAGGAATACAATTTGTTTTCATTGCCCAAAAAAAAAAATTCAAAAAAATTATCTATCTTTTGGTGTTTGTTTGACTTTATTTTACATGAAAATTTTTAATTAAAGGGAGCTATTTTTTTACAATAATTCTTAAAATTTGTTTTCATTTAAAAAAAAATAATCCTGGAATTCACTTTTCCACCGTACAAGTGGGAAATAAATTCCTTCAAGTCAAGGAAAAAGGCGCATGAGAGGGCTCCATGGAATTCACTTTCCATGGAAATTCTTTGCAATCAAACACTCACAATTGGATGGAAATTAATTTTCACCCCTATTCGATCCCCATTAAATTACATTTTATTACATTCTATTTCTCTCCTATTTTCAACCACACAATCTTCCATAAAATAATATTATACGTAAATAAAAAAACTTTTATTCTTTTTTAACCACTCATTCTTTCAGCAAAACACTATTCCCCCCATTTTCATTACGAAAAATGGGGGCCAAACGGGGGCTTCATTTTGCATGGAAAGTGATGCCTATCAAACGAAACCTTAATGTCGAAGGAATGAAATATTTTCGGACCATCAGTAAAAAATGAGTAAATAAAGATAATATTTTGATGCGAATCAACTAGTTTGGTTGCAAGTTGGTTGCTGAAAACAGATTAGAAGAATTTAAAGGTTTCTAAATTTTTGCTATTCGACCTTATATTAATAGAAATTAGAAACACCCACAATTATTAAGACAAACATTGAAGAACTTTCAAAAAGCAGTCCAAGTGGACTGCCGACTCATTGACCAAGGAAGAAAGAGGAAATCCCACAATTATTAAGACAACATTGAAGAACTTGCTTTCCAATTTCGTTCATTTTCTATTTCCTTCGTGACCAAGGAAGGCAGGCATTCAGTTGCATTATAAAAAGCAAGAAAAGAAATCAGTTCTACGCCCAACATTGCCAAAGTTAACAAAGTAGAAAACTTCAATTAATCATTCATAAAACATCCTGATCCAAATAGCGCTCGAAGATTACCACAAGAAAAGCTTCAATGGAAAACGATTACTCCGACATCACTTTTCGGCTACTGGATCTCTCTTCACAAGGGAAGGTATATTAAGGAAATACTATCTTCTCAAAGGGAAACCTAAAGATGCTGTGATTTTCAGTCTTGTGTCTACCGACCCCCATGTAAACTACTTTATGTACGACTAAATTTCAAGACTTGAGGGTTGGAATTCGGACGTAATGGCATTACTTTACGTATTTTTCATTTTTATTCTTATTACTAGTCTGCATCTCGTGCATTGCACGAGTTTGTAGTTATTAGTGTGAAATATGTAGAATTTAGAAAAAGTATTTACGAAGTTTAATGGATTTTTTGAACCCCTTTTGAATTTTTATTTTGGGTCTATTTTTTGTGACTTGATTGAAGGAATTTGTTAAAATTATAAGCGATATTTTGAGTCTTTTTGATTGAAATACTGGATGCGTACTTTGGATTCTTGTAATCACATTGTGTTTGAAGAATCCTGTGGTTTTTGGGTGATGAATGTGAATGGTTGGGATTTGGGTTATTTTGAGATTTTCTACAATGAAAAAAATGCTACAATGTTATATTCTTGAGATGATTTTTTTGCCAAAAATGAAAAAAATCAAGATAGTGACTAAAATCGAGAGTCCTAATTTTAAGGATTATTCACTAACAAACGGAATTCAAATTCGATTTAAATTCATCGAGATATAATAAAAAAAATTACTAAAATA